TTAGGAGTTGCAGGTTTTGTAGGTCCCATAACCGAGGCCCAATTTACAAGACTCAAGTTGGATCCGACCCAAGTTAGTAAACCCGAAGCCCAACTAAGCTGGTCCAAATGACAAACCCGGCCTGACTCAACTAGGGTTTCTAAACATTAGCCCTAATTTAACCTAACCTTAGGGAGCTACTCTCGTCGCATCACCACCACTATTCAAACCACGTACTCCCGTCATCCTTCAATCACCGTTTCAACCACTAAGCATCATCATCTCATACAAACAGTGAGGAAAATCAGTTAAAATCAACCAAATCCAAAACCCTTCAATAAAAAAATAAAATAATCCCGTAAAATCGGGAATGATGTAGGGAAATCATTTCCCCTATCAACCAACCACCATAGCTTCACCAAAATTGAACAAAAAATGCATAAAAACCAACATGTAAGCAGAGAGGGGGAATCGAACAGAAAAATAAATCAGAGGCGGTTCGAACCAAAAAGGGAGAAAAAAAGAAGGAAAAGTCGAACCAGAAAAGGGAGAGAAAATAAAATAGAAAAAAAGAAGTAAAAATTGAACAAAAAAGGAGAGAAAATACAAGAGAAAAAGAAAAGAAAAGAAAATAAATACCTTACCTTGGTACGGAGCACGTCGAAAAACTAAAAAGTCCCCGGGTTTTTTTTTTGAGTTTACAAAAGGTAAAAACCCTAAATCTAAAGATTTGGCTGGGTTTTATGCAAAACTAGTATCAATTTCAGGCTTAGGGGAAAGAGGGGTTTTTGTGAGATTTGGTTTTTTTTTCAGTCCACCAATGGTGGTGGCAAGTAACGGCAACTGCCTTCCCCTTGGCAAGGGAAGTTGAGAGAATTTGAATTCTCTCTCTCGGCTAGAATCAAATGGAAGGAAATGGGGGATGAGAAATAAACCTTGTTTTTGGTTTTTTTAAAAACCGGGCAAAACGACATAGTTTCGGACTCCTTATTCTTGTGTTTACATAGTTTTAGGAGAAATTACAATTTTAGTCCCCGTGTTTTGTAATTTGATATGCTAATTTGAAATAAAGTGGGCTATTTATGGATTTGAACCTTACATGTTTTTATTTTTTACGTTTCAGTCATCGTACATAAGATTTAATATTTTGGTTAAATATTTGGTCTGATATATCAATTTCTTTTTATTTCATTTTAGGCCTTTTTGTTTAATATATGTACGGTTCCGATTTATTTATGTTTTCAGTCCCTATATTTTTTGTTATATGTAAATTAATCACTATTTTAGGATTAAAGATATGGATTATTGTCAGGTTAGCTCTATGTTTTTATTTATGCCGATTTGGTCCTTGCTTGGTTTGTTTATTGTATATTAGTCCTTATAACTTAGCATGTGCATTTTTTTGTTGTAAATATCGATATGCATGGGTTGTCTTATATTAAATATTTATATGTGTATATTTATGTGTCTGTATATTTATTTTTTTATGAATTTTATTTATGTACGTATATTTTTTTCGTTAAATGTTTTTTTATTTAATAATATTTTAATGTCCCACTCGAATATTTCCGAGAATGTTGTTCGTAGAATGGGTGTGAAATGTACCGCTCGACAGGAGTGGTGCGATTCGACGATATTCAAATGAACAATGAACATGAAATAAACTTACTCATTTTTTTGTTCAATTTTGTAATTCGAAATAATTAACCAAAATTTGATAAAAATAAATCATATTTTAATTTGAATTCGTAAAATCCACTATTGCAATAACATATAAGCGACTATGTATCAATTTTGGACATTGTGGCAGCGTTCACCCTTCCCCACGCGTAATCGAATTCTGAACTCTTACAAATGAATTTTTGGTAACACATACCATTTTTTGTCTTAAAATAATTTTTCTTGAAATTGTTTTAAACAACAATTTTAGGTATTCGACCTACCTAGCCCAAAGGTCAAATGGTGACTCCAATTCGAATTAAATTTCAATTTCATCAAAAACCCCAAATTTTCAAAAACTAAATCATAATTGATTTTTAATTCGATTTTTCATTTTAAAAACGTTGACATGAGTCATAAACAGTTTTGACTCTAGTTAGTTTCAATCATTTTTGCTGGGTAGTGTTTTACATCCCTACATTCACCAACTTTTTTTTTTGGAAAGAGCAGATGAAACAGTTAGGGATCAACTCACTTTTTAGCATAATTTACCATCCGGAGGGCATTTCATAATATGGAGGTCTCCCACGGAAGCTGCTCTCAATCTGACGTTAGGGGCAACCTACTATCTTACCTCCCCTTACCCCATTACATATGAGAATAAATGGTCAAAGCGAATGAACCAATGTCTTGAGCAATACTTGAGAGGTTTATGTTTTTAAAAACCTATCCGATGAGCAAGATTGTTACCCCATGATGAGTGGTGTATAATACTAACTACCACACAACACTGAAAATAACCCATTTTGAGGCACTTTATGGCTATAAATCACTATGATGCTTTGTTGTTCTGAATCTAATATGCAAAGTGTTCAAGAATTATTGCAGAAAAGGGACCAACTCAGATAGATTGTTAGGGATCAGTTAAAGGAAGCACAAACCCACATGAAACAAAATACTGATAAGAATCAAAGTGAAAAGCAATTTAATATATGTGATGAGATTTACCTGAAATTGCAACCTTATCGATAAAGCTTCCTAACACTTACAAAAATTTGAAGTTAGTAGCTTATTTTTATGACCCTTATAAGTTTATTAAAAAGATTGGTGAGGTCATGTATAAGCTTTCCTTACTAGATACGGCTTGTATCCACCCAGTTTTTCATACAAGTCTACTAAAATGAAAACTTGGTGAAAAAACAGTGGCTACATCGAATCCTTCATGATGGGCAATTGAAGGTGTTTCCTGATAAGATTTTGGGCAAAAGGATTGTCAAAAGGTATAAACATGCAGTTACTCAGTCGTTATTCCCATGGACGAATTTGAATTCCAATCACAATACTTAAAAAGATTATACAATTTTTTTATTGTGATTTCCTACCTCTGATCCTTGGGAAAAGGATCTTCTCATGGAGAGGGTATTATCACGAATGAAGGAGAAGAGAAAGACGAAGAATTCATAATCAAAGTGAAGGAATTGGAGGAAATGAAAGAGGGATTAGGGATTTGGAAAAAGAGAACCGGGGAATTAGGATTTCAATCGAAGATATTGGGGCAATTCAGAAAAGCATGGAAGAAAAAGTCACGTGAGAAAGAGATGGATTCTAGAAGAACAAAAGGAACAGGCCCAGAAACAGATCTAGCTGGGAGTCTACCAGGAATATCTGTCTTAGTTGTCGCCTGAGAAGGAAGCTGTTACAATTAGTTAAGAAAATGGACAACTTTCAAGAATCTAGAATCTACAATTAGTTAAGAATTTCTATAATCTCCCTTCTTCTTTTTTAAAGTCTCTCTTTTATTTTTATTAAAAACCTTACGATATTCTCAAAACATAACAATTTGTTTTAATAATTTAAGTGCTCTCACATTTTTAGTTATTTTATGTTAAGTTCTCCCATGGTCATTTTCATTTTTTTTGACATTTAATATATGTTGTAACACTCGACTAAAAGTTAGTTTAGCAATAGAAGCAATCGAACTCCACTTTCAAGACCCAAGTTTCATTTCTCTCAACCATGACATATTGAAGGATTAAATTCGTTGAATTAATTTAAAATTATGATCAAATTAATAGAATATGAAAATAATGATAATTAAATATATAATTATATCAATTTTATTAACTGACACATCAACTACTCCCTCAAATATTAATGGCATGTGTTTTAATTATATTATTTAAATAGTTAATTGATTTAATTGAAAAAATTGAAATATCGATGATCATATTAAAATATATACTCCCTCAGTCTCATTAAATTTGTCCAATGTTGATCTTTTTTGGTCATTTTTTTTAATTTTGACTCATTATTATTTAAAATTTGTTATTGATAAAAAAATTGAAAAATATATTTTAAAAACTTTAAATCAAGTAGTTTTGAATATATATTTTATAAAATTTAATTATTTAAAATATTTAAAATAGTCATGATCAAAGTTTAAAATTTTTGACTTCTTAAAAAGTCAATAATAAACGTATTTATTGAGATAGAGGGAGTAGTTTATTCTTAAATTTACTTAAAAATTAATTCTTTTAAAAAATTATTCAAATATTATAAAATAAAATTAACTCATCAAAATAAAAATTAAAAACTTAAAAAATTAATATAAAATTCCCAAAATTAAGGAGTTGCTTGGTTTGTGCATAGGGATGGCAACGAGCTGGGTTCGGGCCGGGTATTGGTCCCCCGTCCCTGTCCCTGTTTAAAAAACCGGTACCCGTCTCCGTTTAAAAAATCGCAGGGATTTAAACGGGAATCCCCGTCGGGTAATCGGGGAAAACCGCGGGGAAACAAGCATCCCCGTTTAGCATAAACGGTTATTTAAACGGGTATTGGGCCGGGTATTGGGTCGGCTATTGGGTCGGTATTGGGCCGGGAATCGGGCCGGGTATATATATATATATTTAAATTAAATATATATTTTTATTAAATTAAATTTATTAATATTATATATATATATATATATATAAATAATTATTTTTAATATTTATCGGGTCGGGTATCGGGGCGGGTAATCGGGACGAGGATTACCATACCCGTCCCTATCCCGTCCCCGTTTATCATCCCCGAACCCGACCCGTTTAATTCAATTTTCGATTTTCCGTATCGGATTCGAATTTTTTTGCCATCCCTATTTATGCATAATCAAGTAGAAGTAAATCAAAAGTATGAAACCAATGTCACCCTTAATATGGAGAGTAACTACCTCATCCCAATATCTATGAAAGCGAAATTACCATAAACATCTTAAAAGATTCTGCAAATAACATCTACGTCCTGCTCTCTTTATATTCACGAAAATCGTACTCACCGAGCGGCACAAATATTTTGGTTTTAATTTTGATTAATTTTTTTCAACTGTGAACTTATTCTTCTTTTTTGTTCTCTCACAACAATCCGTTCTATGTCACAAGAATCCTACTCTCTCTTCACCGATTCAAAACTCGGACAACCCCAATGAACGATCTGGAGCGAGTCAAGAGGGAAGACCCGTTTCTGATCAAGTATGAGCCTTCCGAACTCAGAATCGCGTCGGAGTTCTTAAGCACGTGGCTACCTTTCCTTTCCAGAGATCTCTGCCACCGATGCACACAAACCTTCTCCCAACGAATCCGCTCTCTAGACCCAGGTAACCTCCTTTTACTAGCATTGTCATGTTTTCAACTTTAATAAAGTTCAAACTAGGATTTTCCCTTATAAAATTCCCTTATTGCGCCTTGCTTTTATCGATATATTTTTGTTTTTTTTACTGAAAACAAATGTCCTTTGCTAATTGTCCTTTCTAAGTCGGATTTGAAGTAAATAAGCATAGATTATATTATCTTCGATTTATTTTACTTGTCCATGACTGCTGCAATGAGGGTTTTGTGTAGATATGTGTATAAATAAGTGAGAGAAATTTATGGTTTATGTTTTCTGTTGTGGAACTTGAAGGAGATGCTGCGCTGGCCAACCCTGATCTGAATGTAATCCCTTCTACTCCCAACAATAATGAATTGGAAGAATTAAATGAGAATCTTCATGATGATTGTGCTGTGAATTCGATTGGAAGTTCAAAAGATGATGATGCCAACTCATTGGGTAGTTGGAAAGATGGGGAAAATGGATGGTCTGAACCCATTGGAGAAGCATCCACTAGTGGTGGAGTTGCCAGCGTGTCGCCTTTGGTTCGAACCCCGGCTCCCCGTCTATCATGGGCAGACATGGCACAGGATGATGAGCTTGAGGAAGAAGAAGAAGAGCAACTGGGGTCAGAGTCAAGCAAGCGGATTGTTAGTTTAACTGCTGCCACCAGGGAGTTGAAGATATCTAAGGGTGTCGAGAAGCCTAAATTGCCAAGAGATCAGAGAGAGTACATTAGGTTTATGAATGTGAAGAGGAAGAAAGATTTTATATGTTTTGAGGGAGGTAATGGGAAGTTTGTAAATATTCTCGAGGGGCTTGAACTCCATGAGGGAATTTTCAGTGCTGCAGAACAGAAGAGGATAGTTGACCATATTTATCTGCTTCAGGAGATGGGGAGAAAAGGAGAGTTGAAAGGTCAGTATTTACATATTGCTAATCCTGTTCATATGATTGTATTGTTGAGTGCTTTTGCTATATGTTCTTTGATTTGTGAATATGATTTTTTATTCTTGAGTAGTTTCTCTGACTAGGGTTCTTTTTTGGAGAATTATTGAGCTTGTTATAATATAATGGTTAACTCAATAGAAATGTTTAGAAAGTAGCAAATTTCATGTCATGTGTTAGCATAAATAACATTCAAGGAGCACATGCAAATACGGAGTATGCAATTCATTTTTGTTTAATATACTGTCAAAGTGGTAGAAATAGAATTAATTGAGCAGAGCTTTGAAGTCCTTAAGTCCTGTCGGTGTACTCTTTGTTTCCTTGTCTATTATTCAACATTGGATTATAAGTTTTTGGTTAATTAGTTAGGTCAGAAACAGATTCTACTTAATTAGATTCAGTTCTCTCCATGAATCATTTTTTGGGCTTCTCAGATGTATCTCGTGTATGTCATTCCAAGAAGAATCTGATTGGGTGATTCAATCCTCATTCTGATCATGGATTCTTTGGGTTGTACTTCAATTTTTTACCATGGTTTTGTTTTTGTTTTTTTATTTAGTCTTCTTTTTATATCTCAGTGGATTACCCAGAGGCTAGTTTTAACTCATTTCTTCTAAAATCAATTTATGAAGGAGGCTTGTAGGCTTCTTTAATCCTCTTATTGGTCATTGGATGAGATGAGCTTTAGCAATTCAATGGAGTATTTAGAATCATGTTCTGTAGCATCATGTTATCCTTGTGTGCGACTTGCTGATATCTCATCTTTTCAAATTAAGAGTTTCTCAAAATTTTATGTTTAAAACAATGCATAACATTTAAGTAATTGATGTCGAAGAATATCTTTGCTCCTCTTATTGGTCATTGAATCAGATGAGCTTTAGCAATTCAGTGGAGCATTTGGAAAGTTCTGTAGCATTATGTTATCCTTGTGTGCAACTTGCTAATCTGTCATCTTCCAAATTAATGGTTTCTCAACAATTTATGTTTAAAACAATGCATCATATTTAAGTAATTGATGTTGAAGGATATCATATATTATTCATTGTGGAATATATTCTACAGAACGCACATATACAGCACCGCAAAATTGGATGCGGGGAAAAGGACGCGTAACCATCCAATTTGGTTGCTGTTACAATTATGCAGTGGTAAGTTTTTATGTATCCATGTTTAACTGTGAATATTAGTTTAGTGTCTGGAGACACTGTAGTCACAACACAAGTGGTTATATTTACATCTGAAAAGCTTTATTATGTTTTCCTTCTGGTGGCAGGACAATAATGGTAACCCTCCTGGGGTTCTACAAAATGAATTGGTATATCTTATACCCGATCTCTTCAAGGTGATAATTAGAAGGCTGGTCAGATGGCATGTGCTTCCTGCGACTTGTGTGCCTGACAGTTGTAGAGTCAATATATATGAAGAAGGCGACTGCATACCTCCTCACATTGACAACCATGATTTTGTTAGACCATTCTGTACTGTATCGTTTCTTAGTGAGTGCAACATACTTTTTGGGTCAAACTTGAAGGTTGTAGATGCTGGTGAGTTTTCTGGGCCAACTGCAATTCCTCTACCTGTGGGGTAAGATTCTTTTCATGCACTAACGATCCTATTTCTCTATAAACTCAAGTAATGTAATCATTGTTTGTTTACAACTATCGAGTTAAAAACTTAAAATCAGTTATTTCTCCTTTCAGGTCAGTTCTGGTTTTAAATGGAAATGGAACAGATATTGCTAAGCATTGTGTGCCTGCAGCTCCTACTAAGAGGTACAAGTTTAAATTTATGATCTTTTTACTATTTGTTGTGAAGATTGTTATTTTACTTTTGTTCATTTAACTTTCTGCTCTATTGCTTCCCTTAGGATATCGATCACATTTAGGAGAATGGATGAGTTGAAACGACCAGTAGGATATACTCCAGAACCTGATTTGCAAGGCATTGAACCGTTGACATATGATGCACAAAGACCAAAGGGATTAAATTCACCTAGATCAGTCGGTGCACAGAGACCAAGGGGAATAAATTCACCTATATCTGAACAGAGACCAAGGGGAATAAACTCATTTATATCTGAACGCCGTGTAAAATTCAACCATTTAGAAGAGGGGAAGTGAAAGGCTTTACAGAGATTAATGAACAATCGGAATGTCGATCCTCAACCCAGCCTCGAAGAGGCTCTTCATATAAGAGAAGGTTCACAGTGAATCAGAGCAGGCAATGAGTTGCTGCATGTCTAATGTGCACATTATTTCTCCGTTCTGGTTATCGATCATTTCGGCATTTGTGATTGGTATAAAATCTTATTTTGAAGCCCTGGAATAGATTGCGGAGTTAAGTAATAGGGTTAGGTTGGAAGTTTAGAGGGTGTGTGTGATGTCACATTTCTGAAAAATCATAGCTCAGGTTCTCATTGAGGTTTGTAATTATATAAAACGATGTGCGTAATTAGTTTCTTAGCATTTTTTAAATAGACCAATTCAAGGATTTGAGATCAAATATGCTCTCCTCAGTCTTTTGCACTCGAGTTTCATATACTTTCCCATACTTTTCCATCAAGATGGGATTTTGCCCTTTGAATTGGGCTGTGGCATACAATCAAGGGTATAATCATTCTCTTGGAACTGTCTTTTCTCAAGTAATGATATCAAACGCACTATGATATCCTCTATAGGAATTTAAGATTAGTTGGAAGAGCTGCATCTGTGTTTTGTCAATTAAAGTAGCTATGTTCGTAATGTATACGTTATTACTAAAAAAAAATTAAACATATATTACCTTTATAATTATATCAAACTAAATTGGTCAACACTAAGTGAAATGTTAGAGGTGAAATGTTAGGTATATAGCAGCACTATAGGTTTTGCATACTAATCATTCATTGATATGATTTACACATAATAAGAATATATGGACATAAAATTTGAGATGAGAAATATAAATGTCAAAAAGCTGAGTTTGTATATACGAATGAAATTTGCGTAAACAATTTAAACTTGTTTGGGAATCAATAGATTTTGTTTAACACTTGTAGCAAATTTTCCTACAATCTGTAGGTTTTCTGTTGTCTGATTCAGTGTTACAAACACAACCAATCGACCCTTGGTGTTTTATCAGTGCAGTTGTTAGCTTGTGAAATGAAAGGATGAAGCTGACAAAAGGAAGGGAAGAACACAGAATCCAACATATGGAAATGTAAGAGCAAAAGAAAGTTTAAGTTCTGCTTCCGCATCTAAAGTTGAAAAGGAGAAAACAGGATTCTGCATACTCCCTGTAAATTTTCATACAGAATTTACAAATCTACATTCTCACACCTCAAATTATACATTAACCAGATCTGCAAACTAAAAAACCAGAAGTTTAACATAAAGAAAACTCGCCATTAAATTCATGAAAATGATTACATCACATAACAGGAACTGGCATCACTATTTCATTAGTAGCATCCATGCTCGAACTGCCAGCTCTGGAGTCCCTGTCCTCCTCCCTGGAAGACTTTTTCTTGATGAATTCAATACAATCTGCAACAGCTTCGCTGTGGTGAGCATCAACTGGGTAATATTTTCGTGGGGCGTTCGATGTGCTACTGTGATGATGATGATGATCTGAGGCCTTGCTGAGAGCTGATATCATTATCAGGCGAAAAACTGCTTCTCGGAATCGCTCTAGCAGCGTCGTTGGCGATAAACGTTTGTTTTTGTTGTTGCCTTTGAACCCCGGCATGCAAAAAACACCGCTCTTCATTATCTTGGGGCTGCTTCTGGTTTTCTTCTCAATACTCTCCGGTCCTCCTTTGCCTTTGATAACGTAGTTGTTTTATAGAAGAATCTGATGCACATGACAAGTTTTTTATATGCATGTCTTTTTGTTACCAGAAAAAAAGGGTTTGTTTCCATTTCTCTTCTGTGTATATATCATAATGACTTCATCATATGCATAACTGGACAAATATTCCAGAAAACAGGGTAAATAAACAATGTCTTTTCCAAGAGTTGCTTCAGTTTGTTAATAACGTGAGAATTGAAAATGGTCCCCAAGACTTAATCCGTGGCTAGAATGTAGGGTTTTGCTTCATTATATTAAAAACAGATTAGCAAACATTTCGTCTTAACTGGAACTCTATAAGGTTCACATGCTTACATGTGCAAATATTCATTACTCTACACACATTTATTAAAATTCAATTCAGCCGACTTGCTGACTTTCAAAGAATCCTTCGTTCTTGTACCTACTTTTAACCAAACATGAAAATGTTCTAGTTTGCATGATAAGCACAAACGGATACTGAAACCCCATGTGTATCAAACTGTTCTTCGGATGCGGTTCCGATGCTCGAGTCAGTGAGTTTTAGAGTAGAGATGAAGGGAGAAAGTGACAACAGTAACGAGGTATAACAAGTGGAATCCATAAACATCAATCACACTCCAAATTTATGTAACACTAAGCTACTTTTACTACACAAGCTCCAACCTTTTGTGCATGGTCTCAGCTAATAATGCCTCTGGACCTCGTTTGCTCTTAGGGACTGATGGTCATCTTCTTGGCTTGCTTTCTTCTTAGGGAATAGCCATCCGATAATGGGGATTAATGTGTTCCTTCTAAGTTTCTTAACCCTGTCTGTTCCTTCTGGCGTTTCGTGTTTGTTGACAATGACTTGGGTTAATCAAAGAGGGCTAGCAAATTTAACGACTCTCTTCTTTTGGAATTGATCCTGCGGCTCTTCGTCCATGTCATTGTCTTGTTTTTGATGAATTTGAAGTCTTCTATGTCGGGATCGAACCGTTGCTTTTGGAACTCTCTTGCCTTAAACTGTTGCAGCTCCTTTTTCTATTGTTCAAGGTCTTCTCTAAGTGTTTTTATGCTATATGACATGGAATTGTTTTCCTCTTGTGCCTGTTGCAAGCTTTGCTTTATTTCTGCTAGCTCGGCTGTTAAGTCTGCAATCTTGGATTCACCTTTCGCACTTTCACTTTGCTTGAGCTTTCACCTAACAAAAAAAAAAAAATTCGGAGATGGATGCGAGATATTATCCTTCAAATATTCGAGTTCAAATAATATAAATATAATATTCAGATTTCAAAGTATATAGAGAAAAACCTCTTTGGTCTTGTTGCATAAATTTCACCAGCAAGAACTTTTTCTCCGAAAAATGTGAAAGCCTCTTTAACTGATTGAAAGGGTGCTCTGGTATCGATCTCCACCCGTCCAACGACATCAACGCCACCTCCATCTTCCGTTTCCATGGCTCGGGGAGAAATGTCAGCTCCAGTGGAATGAATAATTCACAGGTGCTGAGTGATGACAAGGATCTCCTCTTAATACATACAAGGATAGTGATGAAAGTAAGGTGGTTAGTAATGGAGTTGGATGATAATTAGTTTAACTTAGAGGAAGCTAATGGAAAGTTATAATTAGTATCGGGGCTAGTTTCTTGGCGTCCACTTCACTGGAATTTTGTTAATTATGGGTGGTTGTTTCCTCCATACATGTATTTCTTTGATTATGACCCTTTTTAGGCATTAGTGGACCATTTAGTTGTCGCTCATATACTGGCCATGCTACATCAGATCTTTATACAAAAGTCTTATTTTTAAAGAATTTGTGATTCAATTGTTTCGTCATACGTGGCATTAAAAAGGCGTGAGAAATTATAAAGATTTTCGAACAAGTAACTCGAAAACCTTACATTTTACGTAGTTGTTCTAGCAAATGCTGCATTAGTTCCTTGGAGATTTTTTTTGAGCTCCATGAAATAGGATTATTACCAAGAAACAACCAGTGACCTGTTGTAGACCGTCTGTCATCGAAATCGGTACCCCAATTTGAATTTTAAAAACCTATTAAAGTGGGGCTAGAGGAAGACGTTTGGAATAATAAACCATGATCTATGGTTCCTTTTAGATACATAAGAATCTGCTTGACTGCTTTCCAATGTTAGTCGAGAGGAGTATGTATAAATTGGCTGACCTGCATAATGAATGTCTGGTCTCGTGTTACATTTGCGTTGTAAAATTCCTACAATTTGCCTATTAAGAGTAGCATTAAAGAAAGGTCTGCCATCATGAGCAGAGAGAAGTGGAGAGGTTACCATTGGTGTTTGGATTGGAGCTGCATTAATCACGTCTGTCTTCTGTGGAAGTTCAAGTACATGCTTCTTCTTAGTATAAATCCTTTTGTCTACTCTTCCAACATTATCCCTAGGAAAAACTCAAGAGCTTTTAACAGAAAGAAAGTATTAAGTTTTTTAATAACATCATTCACTTCATTAGCATTTAGCCAATAACAACGATGCCATCTACATAGACCATGATATACACTTTGTTGTCACCTTCTTCCTTGTATATGGCTAAGATGTAGTAAACACAAGTTTTTCCACAGGGCATGCTCTGAACTTTTCAAACCATGCTCTCCGGTGCTTTCTTGAGACCATAAAGAGACTTTCCAAGGTGACAAACCAATTGGTTTCCTTCTGAATTAGTATACCGAAATCCTGGTGGTGATATGAACCAGTTTAATGAAATGAAGACTTTGTGTTCTATAGAAGGTGACAACAATTATTTGTTCCACCATTCACCAAGTAATAGAAAATTAATGTTAAAACATTTTGCTTTGATTATAATAGAAATTTTGAACTCTAAAGACCCAAGAACTCATTTTTCTTTTCAAGTTTTCAGAAAATAATCCTTATTATCTCATCTTCTCCATCTCTTCACCAAGTATTTTCAAGATCGATCTCGTTTAATGCATTGCTGCACCGTGTTACAACTGCTACTACAGCAGAAGTTCCCCCAATCTCTCAGGAAAGACCTCTTTGTAGTCTTCCGAGCATGTTTCTCTGTGGATGCTGTTAACAAGCATGCAGATTTTGTTAGCGAGTGTAAGAAGGATTTTTGAGCGCGATCCAGATCCAGAAAGTACAACTTTTCCAGTCACTCTTTCCGAACTGACTGAACGACTGAAGCACTGGAAAAATATATTACAGAGCAATGTACCCGAAATGGCCACTTCTACTCTTCCAGACTATCCAAATTTAAATTTGTTATTAAACTTCCCTGAATTTGACAAACGAATGCAGCACACACACCAGTGTTGATTTGCAACTTTTTTTTTTGTAATTACTTTATCCTTGTTCTAGTCAAACTAATAATCTCTTGGACCTCCAGAAAATTGCAATTGTTGGTATTTTAATGAAAAGAAAATTCAATAAATGAATGAAATTGAACGTTAAAATTTTTATTCAGCAGCATTCAGAATTTAAATAAAACAAAATCAACAACCCATTAACAACATGCTCCTAAATTCAAGTAACAACCCATTAATAACTTTTTCCTAAACTTAAGCAACACTCAAAATAACAAATAACCAAAAATAGAAGCAGTCCTAAACATATCAACTAACACTCCTCCTTGCTTTAGGAACTACAGACACAAGTGTTACTCT